ACTTATTCTGCAGTCCTAGTCCTCAGTTCCCATTGTAACATAAGGTTAAACTGTCGACTCCATCTTGACCCACCATGCCTGGTGTAAAAGCAGCTAAAAGAACTTGGCCTAACCGCTCTAACCCTGTGGGTCTTGGCAAAGGGGCAACTTTACGCTACTCCCTCAGACACACATGGACAATGTATGAAGGCATTGTCTTAATAGAAGACGAAAGTGCCACTGGCATCTAGAGTAAGGGCCAGAGATGTTGCTAAACACCCTCCAGTGTCCAGGACATTCCTCCCAATAAAGAAGCAGCTGGTCCCAAAATCATGAGTGGAAGCTAAGAAACCCTCCCTGCCTCCCAGGGACAGTTCAGCTCTGCAGAATCCTGTGGCCTCCTTTAAACTCCAACCAGGGATGGGAGTCATTAGAAGATCCAAGACTCCAAGAGTTTGACCCTACTCCTGCCTTTAATAACCTCTGCTAACATTTATTGAGCCCATATCAAGCACTGGCTGGTACTGTCTACGGCAAATGCAATTTAGTCTCACCACACCACGGGAGGCCCTGGCACTATTACCAGCCCTGTTCTCAGGATGAGGAAGCAGACAGAGAGAAGGGGAATAAACAGCACAAAGTCTCTCCGAGGACACAGATGGAACATGGATTTGAACCGGTCATCTGGGGACAAGTCCAAAGGACAGGGCACTATCCAAGAAAGAGCCCACATGAAGGAGTCCCAGCAAGTCCTTCCTTTAACTTCTTTGTCAAAAGGATGTGCTACATCATTGAGCCCGGAACAACAGTTCTAGGCAGGAAGGCGCTACCACCGTATGGCACTACCACTGGTGCTACACCAGGACAGCAGGGATCCGGAGATTTAACTCTCAGAGCAAGGGCTGGGAGCTCGGCTCTGCTCAGGACTTCTGTCACTCAGGATATAGTGGCCCCTGTGAAGTAGGAGTCATTGTCACATGGGAAGGGCTTGGTACACAGAGTGTCAGGCTTCTAAATCCGTAAAGTCCATCAAGTTCCCAGCTGACCCAGAGAACCACACTGAGCAGCCTGGGCAAGCATGATGTCAGAATCTGGGTCTGGACTGTGCTTCCCACTCTGGCTCTTGCTGACCGAAACTTGGGGCTACTGCTTACCTCTTCCTCTTATCTGTCACTCAAGGCCGCTGAAAGGATTAAAGGGCCTGATGGCAAGGGCCTGGACTCCCAGACACTCAGGACTTGATGTCCTGAGAAGATTTAATCTTCATTTCTGGTTTACAAAACCAAAGTAATTGTTATACTATCAGGACTGGGTCACAGGTTCAAGGATAGCTTGGGCTACACAGTGAAACTATGTTTAAAAAAAAAAGTTTAACCAGGCAGTGATGGCACATGCCTTTAATCTCAGCACTTGGGAGGCAGAGACAGGCAGATCTCTGTGAGTTCGAGGCCAGTCTAGTTTATAGAGTGAGTTCCGGGACAAGACTCGAAAGCTACACAGAGAAACCCTGTCTCAAAACAAAACAAAACAAAAATGTATTCACCTATAAAAATCAAGTAAGAATTGTCCCGGGGATAAATGGGGTTCAATTCCACCCCTCCCATCTATTTAGTATGGAGTTTTGACTCTTTCCCCTCATGAAGTGAGTGTCCTCTTTGTGCAGGCAAAATAGAATTGTCCATATTTCACAAGGAGGGTTGCCAAGAGGGTGCCCATAAGTACTGAGCACAGTTCCTGGAACCCGATAAACGTTAGCTATTCCAGACATACAATGAGTGTATGAAACCTCGGCACCACAGAACACACAAGCTCTTGGCGGCCTTCCCCTTTCCCTCCTCTGCTCTCTCCTCAGCATTCGCTCTATATTGTCTTCCCTTCCTTCCTACTGGGGGATGGGGAAGGCAATTGGGACCAGTCTCCCAGATGGGTACATCTGGGCAGATGCTCACAGGAGAGAGGAGAAAGAGGAGAGAGGAGACAGATGCTGGGTAACCAGTAAGCAGCAGCCTCTGATTGGTTAGGACATCCAGTGCCCTTCTGAGCAGCAGGCTTAGAAGGACCTGGTTTGGGTACCATTTCCCCAAAGCCAGTAGCAGAGCCTAAGTGGGGTTTTCTTCTTTCTTTTCTTTTTTTTCAATACAAAGTGTGAAGGAGGCACCCCACCTCCTTCTAAGGACCAGAGCCAGTGCTGATGAGGCATGAGAGGGTCGGAGTAGCCAGAGACTCTTCCCACATTCTTTCTTCGCATGCAATAGCCTCAGACAGTTGGACTCATAGATTCGCAAATTCATAGAACTTCTGGGTAGCGAGAAGCTGTGACTGATGTTGGCCTCACGTCCTTCATGGTGCCTAAAGCTAGGCTGCAGAGGCCTGACAATTTGGCTAGCAAGATAAGCTGAGCAGTGAGGCAGGCCTGCAACCAGCTTTTCCACCAAGATAGGAAATAAAAGATCAGAGAGGGTCTGACCTCGTTCTGCAATTCCCTGGCTTTGTTCTCTTAGGTTAATTCATTCAGTTCTCTGAGCCACAATTTCCACCATATCTGTTGAGAGGATTAAATGAGACAATATATGAAATGAAGCCAAGTCCGTAGGCAACACTCAAGGATGCTAATTATCACAGGGGTCATCATTATCGAGGAATCTGGTAATGTACTGAGGACTCTGGTCCTGTACCTCACAGCCATGACCATCTGACATTTCCTCGAAGCCTGGCTTCTGCCCTATTTTATTATTTACCTTGCTGCCTTTACGTAGCTTGAAGAAGTCGATAGTATATCTGACAGATATGATAGCTTTTTCTGTGAAATGGTCAAAGTAACACATAAAGAAATAAAAACTGACTTTTGGATATGTCAGTCCTAACCTTCAGTGAAGGCCTGACACCGGTATTTGGGGGAAAAGAGGACAGTGATTGGAGTGGTAGTGAGGGTTTGGGTTCGAGCCAGAGTCTGCTTGGGTGCATTTGGCTTTAGGTGCTCCATGCCCTTTGGCTAAGATGGGAGGCTGAACTTGGGGGCCCTGAGCCTGTCCATCCCCCAAGTCTGGAACCTTGAGAGCCCAAATACGCCTACTCCTCAGGGTGGAAAATGGGCCGAGGAGCCAGACCTGTGTGAGGCCCTGTGTGAGGCCCAGTGTGAGGCCCTGTGTGAGGCCCTGTGTGAGGCCCAGTGTGAGGCCCTGTGTGAGGCCCAGTGTGAGGCCCTGTGTGAGGCCCAGTGTGAGGCCCTGTGTGAGGCCCAGTGTGAGGCCCTGTGTGAGGCCCAGTGTGAGGCCCTGTGTGAGGCCCAGTGTAAGGCCCAGTGTGAGGCCCAGTGTGAGGCCCAGTGTGAGGCCCTGTCTTCTAGCATTCAGGCCCCAGGACCTGCCTCAGTGTACCAATCTGTATCCTTCCAAGGGCCCCACACCACACAGAGGAGGGCGGAGATGTCCAGCATGGAAACTAGCTAGCTGAGCTGGGACTGAACCGCCCGCTGCTCCCATCTGTCGCTGCTACTGAACAGTTTTTATTTCCTGCTGCGAGTGATGAAGGAGGAGGTGTGGAGTCAGTGCTCCCACCTCAACATGGCACTGGGATTCGAACTCAGGCCGTGAGGCCTGTGCAGCAAGTGCTTTACTGACTGAGCCATCTTGCCAGCCCCTACTGCTACTTTTAATCCTCCCCCCCCCAGTAGCAACATAGTACTAAGTAAGTTTCATTGTTCTCACTTAGCCGTGATTCTGAATATCCTCAGTCCGAAGGCTTTACTGGACAGGCCCTATAAGAAACTAGGCAAGTGGCCAGCCAAGAGGCAGAACAAAGGTTCAACTATCAGGCTATCACACACTGTCTGTGGGGTGATGGCCCCTTCTTGCACTTGTAACTCAATTTTCTCATCTGTAGAATGGGAGTGCTTGTTTGAGAACCTCTAAGTTCCCAGATGGGCCATTTCTAGTCCAGGTCCACACCCAGAAGCCCAGACCAGCCTAATGAATTTGGGTGGTAGGGGCAGGTGCAGACGTGACTATCCAGCCAGGGGTGGGCGCAGCCGCCAGACACACAAAAACAACCAAATAAATCAGGCCAAGGAACTCCTAATCCTTCCCGGCTGTGGCGGCTACTGCTCACAGGGCCTGGAAGCAGGGCACCGCATGGCCAAGAGCTCCGTCTAGCCAAAAAACTCGGAGTGAAGCTGGGCCATCATGACCGCCTCTGCTCCCGCGGGGGATGCGAGAAAAGGCCCTCTGGGCTGGTGACTCAGACCTTCCTGACCCCCTCCTGGGTGGGCACTTTCCAGCGCCTAAGTCTATTTTTAGAACTGGCTCCAGGTTTGAGCATAGAATAGCAGGAAAGGGAGTGGAGAAAGCTTGAGACGCCAGAGCCTGAACAGCTCCTCCTCTGGGGCTCTAGCCTTGAGGCCCTCCAGCTGTCCACCTAGAAATAAATGGTAGACGCACCAGGGTGATGCGACATCACCTATGTAGGGGTTGCAGTGCAGGCACAGAGATGAGACCCCTTCTCCCCTCCCACCAGGCCTGGCAGTTCCAAAGAGCTGGGTGTGGCCTCTGTTAAGTGGGGCCGGGAGCCTCCAGCTGCTGAGGTGTCTGTCTATGGGACTGGAGGCCAGGGCTGGAGGGCCTCTGGTGACCGAGGCAGCTAGAGAGCAGAAAGAGCTGCCGGGTTCACAAACCCAATCCCACCCAGCTGTTGACCACGCCCCCGGTCTCACTTTAGCCACGCCCTTGCTGACCACCCCTCTTAGGGAAGGCCAGTCTTCCTCTCCTGGACCTCAGGCTAGGTCCTGCCTCCAACTTGACCCTCCCCACCCTCGGTCAACTTTCCACCCTGTCCCAAGGTTTTCGAGAGCCTGGATGCCGGGGCTTGGGGCAGATGTGAAAAGAATGAGCCGCCACCTTCAACACCTGCTCCAGCCCCTCCGCCCTGGCATTAGCATTGGGGGTGGGGGAGGGAGATAGGAAGTCAGCAGTGGCGAGATCACTGGACACGTGTCCTAAGGTATAGGTCGCTTCTGTTTGAGCCAGACAGATTTAGAGACTGGAGGGGTTGAGACAGCGCTGAGCCCAAGAACAGCCGTGTATAGCAGACCCGGAGTGCCACAGGATGGCACTAAGCTGAGACCACATTTCTGATGGATGAAAGGAGCTGAACACACGTGGGACCTGGCTTTTGGTAGGTCCAAGTCGAGGGCCATCCTTCTGGGGTGAGGGGCGGATGATGGGAGGCGGAGCCCGTTCTCCCGGCACCATCTAGTGGGAAGTTGAGGAATCGCGGAGGACGATGGGGGGGCGCTAAGCCTCTTCCATCCCCCTCGATGTTCTTCCAGGACTTGCATATCACCCTCCTGGGGGATATCCTCATCAACAGGGTTTCCCTCACTGGAAACAGGAGCCATTCTCATGGATGTCTTCCAGTTCCAAGCTCTATCTGTCCCTTGTTGTTCAGGATCACTTCCAACCTGCCGTCTATCCCAGCCACTGGTCCCTGAAGCACCTGCCAGCTGCTGCCTCTTCTCTTACTCTTGCCCCGGCTATTCCTGATAGACTCCCAGTGTTTCTACAACAGAAATCTAGCAGTGTAATTCTCGCTATTAAAATATCCCTATGAGGGGCTGGCGAGATGGCTCAGAGGTTAAGAGCACTGACTGCTCTTCCCGAGTTCAATTCCCAGCAACCACATGGTGGCTCACAACCATCCATAAAGATAGCTGGTGCCCTCTTCTGATGTGTAGATGTAAATGGAGGCAGGATGTTGTATTCATAATAAATAAAATCTTTTTTTAAAAGCCCGTTTAAAAAATCCCTATGAATTCCCAGGGTCCAGATAAAAACGCACTTGGGACTTAGTGGCCTCTTGACCAGTCACCCCACCTTCTGTGGATGGCTCCTTTTGTTTTTCCTTCCCAACTGAGCACTCCCTGAGATTATCCTAGTCCTTGCCATTGGGGGGGGGCAATGAGTTCCCATGACCCCCAGCGCGCCTCTGCTTACAGAGCTGTCTCCGCCTAGGACTCTGGCTGCCTGTCATTCTTCAGGACAGCTTATGGAGATATTAATTGCTTTGCTCTTCCTGCCCCCCCCCCCACTTCCAAGCTGGTAGCCAAGGTCTTTGATTTTCCTAGCCTGGGGGAACTGTGCTGGGTAGCACACAGAGACTGCTTGAAGTCTGATGGCTCCTGCCTACTTTTGAAAAAGCTAACCTTCTGGAAGCAACTGTGCCAGGTGTTCTCGAGGGATGAGCAGAAGAGGACAAAGACAGAAGAGACTGGCAACTCGTTGCACAGGGAGCAGCAGTGTGTGTGCGGTAGGGCGGGCACTGTGAGCAGAGACAGATGTCCTTGGTAGGTGACAAGATCTGAGGGGAGACTGGGGGCCTGGGGCCTGGGTATTGAGATAGTGGCCTCACCACCCTCACCCCACCCCACCCACGCCAGGGGAAGAGCTGGGTCAGTCAATCTCAAGAACCCCCACAGGGACCAGCACTGCAAGCTCTCCATGTGGTAAGGTGAGCCAGGGCAGGAGGCAGCTCCTCCACGATACAGGCAGAAGCATCAGATCCCTGCACGAGCCTATGGAGGGGGAAGAAGGGGAGTCCAGTGGTGACTGAGATGGAATTTTCTGCAGACTCGCAGGACAAGGCTTAGAGTGAATCAGATTAGAGGAGGTTTTAAGAGAATACAAACACTGGGTATTTCTAGGGCCAAGATTCCTACCTGCTACGCCTGCCTGTGTGCATCTCAGATATAAAACTGAGACCATGTGTGCTCCGTTTAGAACTGCAGCCTCAGGGTCCAGTGTGGGGCGTGGTTCATAGTTCATACCCTCAAAATGGTTTGCTGCTGCTGCTGGATTCACTTTTTCTCAGAAAAGTCAAAAACTCAAGTTCCTTTCAATGGAGTACACGAGGGTACCCCATAGCCCTGCAGTGGGGTATGTGAGGGTATCCCATAGCCCTGCAGTGGGGTGCGTGAGGGTACCCCATAGCCCTGCAGTGGGGTATGTGAGGGTACCCCATAGCCCTGCAGTGGGGTATGTGAGGGTACCCCATAGCCCTGCAGTGGGGTATGTGAGGTATCCCCATAGCCCTGCAGTGGGGTATGTGAGGGTACCCCATAGCCCTGCAGTGGGGTATGTGAGGGTACCCCATAGCCCTGCAGTGGGGTACGTGAGGGTATCCCTTTAGCCCTGCAGTGGGGTACGTGAGGGTATCCCATAGCCCTGCAGTGGGGTGCGTGAGGGTACCCCATAGCCCTGCAGTGGGGTACGTGAGGGTATCCCTTTAGCCCTGCAGTGGGGTATGTGAGGGTATCCCATAGCCCTGCAGTGGGGTATGTGAGGGTATCCCATAGCCCTGCAGTGGGGTATGTGAGGTATCCCCATAGCCCTGCAGTGGGGTATGTGAGGGTACCCCATAGCCCTGCAGTGGGGTACGTGAGGGTATCCCATAGCCCTGCAGTGGGGTATGTGAGGTATCCCCATAGCCCTGCAGTGGGGTATGTGAGGGTACCCCATAGCCCTGCAGTGGGGTACGTGAGGGTATCCCATAGCCCTGCAGTGGGGTGCGTGAGGGTACCCCATAGCCCTGCAGTGGGGTACGTGAGGGTATCCCTTTAGCCCTGCAGTGGGGTATGTGAGGGTACCCCATAGCCCTGCAGTGGGGTACGTGAGGGTATCCCATAGCCCTGCAGTGGGGTGCGTGAGGGTACCCCATAGCCCTGCAGTGGGGTACGTGAGGGTATCCCTTTAGCCCTGCAGTGGGGTATGTGAGGGTATCCCATAGCCCTGCAGTGGGGTATGTGAGGGTACCCCATAGCCCTGCAGTGGGGTATGTGAGGGTACCCCATAGCCCTGCAGTGGGGTATGTGAGGGTATCCCATAGCCCTGCAGTGGGGTATGTGAAGTATCCCCATAGCCCTGCAGTGGGGTATGTGAGGGTACCCCATAGCCCTGCAGTGGGGTACGTGAGGGTATCCCATAGCCCTGCAGTGGGGTGCGTGAGGGTACCCCATAGCCCTGCAGTGGGGTACGTGAGGGTATCCCTTTAGCCCTGCAGTGGGGTACGTGAGGGTATCCCATAGCCCTGCAGTGGGGTGCGTGAGGGTACCCCATAGCCCTGCAGTGGGGTACGTGAGGGTATCCCTTTAGCCCAGTAAATAAGCTAATATGTAATGCCCTTTTGGAGCCCACTGAGCTTCCTGGGGTCGTAGCCCACCTCCCTCACAGCCTGTCTCTACAACCTGCCCTCCATGCGGACTCCTCTCCAGCCACATGGTACTGTTTGTAACTCTCCAAACTTGCCAGGCTGTTTCCTGCCTCCATGCCTTTGCTTATGCAGCATCTCCGCCTCTGGTGCCCTTTCCCCTCTCTCTGCCTGCTGAGCCTTCAATTAGTATAAGTTCAGCACAAGTCTTCCCTTCCCCATCTTCTCTACCCACCCCCTCGCCGCACACCAGCAAGGCAGAGCGGACCCCGCCTGCTCTGGAACCGACTGTCCACACCCATGCCTGTCTCCTCCGCAGGCTGCATTCCGGGCTTCGCTGGCATAACAAGTCCTCTGTGCCTAGCATAGTGACACAGCTTCCTGTCCCCCTTGAACTATTGGTGTGACCTCAGCGTTCCTTCTGGCCTAGGTTTCCCTCTCTCCGCACAATGGAGGGAATGGAACTCAATGGTCCCTGGGTTCCCTCCTTCCCTCATTTGAGCTTGGCAGTGATGGCATGTAAAACCCGGTTCACCTGCGTCCCTGCAGGCCAACTGAAAGCCGTGCATGCTCAGACACGCAGATGCACATGACAAAGCACACAGCCACCTGGGAGCAAACCCCTGCCGAGCAGATGTGACCCACACATAAAAATATGTGGTCTTCTGGATGCAGGTGCTTGCTTGGACCCCCCCCCATCCCCAGTCGGCCACTGGCCTTGACAGTGAAAAATTCAGAAGCAGTCAGGGCTGCCGGTTCAGCAGCGAGTTAATATTCAAGGAGTGAGCCTTCTGCAATAGGCGTGCCCCACGGCTGGTGTCCTGTGGGGTTCCCCCTTTATGAAGCCTGCATAGGCTTTGGCCTCCTACCCCACCCACCCCAGCTGTAGACCCAGACAGCCTTCCTGTAGCAGGCCAGCCACCCAGACCCAGACCCTTAGTTCCATTTGATTTCTGGGCACTTGCTTTCCAGTGTCTCCTCGGTCCTTCATTCAGAATTGTCTCTCAAATTCCTCTGGAGTGCCAGGCAAAGGGCATCCATGTAGGCGACTACGATCCCGTTCTTCACTCAGGAGCTCAGAGGCCAGTGGGGGAGACAAGAAAAACATTCTAGATACAATTTCACATTAAAAGAAATAGTACTATGGAAAGAGTAAAGTGATGTGATTTTTAAAAAATGATTTAGGACCAGTGGAATGGCTTAGTGGGTAAGGGTATTCATTACCCAGCTTGACTTCCTGGTTCAGTGCTGGAACCCATATCATAGAAAGAGAGAACTGACTTCCACAAGTTGCTCCCTGATCTCCACATGCACATAATGATATGTGTGTGTACACACACATGTGCGCATGCTCACACACAATAAAAAATATATATGTATATCTAATTGGTATTGTTTTTAATGATTCAAAGAGGGAAGGAGACAGCCACGGGCCGTCTGAGGAACACTGTAACTGTCGTCAAGAGTATGTCAGGAAGCTGGAGAAATGGCTTGGTGGTTAAGAATACTTATTCTTTCAGAGAACTCTGGTCTTGGTTCCGAGCACCTGCATGGTTCACAACCGTCTGTAACTCCAGTTCCAGGGGATCCAGTGCCCTCTTCTGACCTTCATCGGTACCAGGAAGGCATGTAGTGCACATGCATAATTATACATAAAATAAATAAATCTTATTTATGTATCTTAACTTCTTTATTTTTAAGATTTATTTATTTATTATGTATACAGTATTCTGCCTGCATGAATGCCTGCAGGCCAGAAGAGGGCACCAGATCTCATTACAGATGGCTGTGAGCCATCATGTGGTCACTGGGAATTGAACTCAGGTTCTCTGGAAGAAAAGCAGTCAGTGCTCTTAACCTCTGAGTCATCTCTCCAGCCCCTTATCTTAATGTCTTTACTAAAACTTTTCACAAGTTTATTTTGATGATATTTTTCATTCCCCCAATTCCTCCCAGATCCTCCCCACCTCCCTACCCACCCAACTATATGTTCTTTTCCTTTCTTTAAAAATAAGCAAAAGTCGGGCGGTGGTGGCGCACACCTTTAATCCCAGCACTTGGGAGGCAGAGGCAGGCAGATCTCTGTGAGTTCGAGGCCAGGCTGGACTGACAGCCTCCAAAACAATACAGAGAAACCCTGTCTCATAAAATAAATAAAAATAAATAAAAAATAAAAATAAACAAAAGCAAAACAAAAAGACAAGAAACACATAAATCCTACAGAAATGAAAATAAACAAGAGAAGACCAATAAGACAAAAAGATGCCCAAGTAAAGTAAATAACACAAAAAAGTCTCTAAAATTACCATTGAGTTTGTTCTGTGCTGACCATCTACTCTTGGGGAATGGGCCTGCCCTGAAGTGTGGTTAATATACCCAGTGAAAATCCACTGGAGAAAACTGACCTTTCCTTTGTGAGGGGTACCAATTACAGATACCTTCTTGGTTAGGGGTGGGACCCTGTGTTCACTTCACCTTCTCAGTCCTGGGACCCTGTCTGGTTTGAACTTGTATAGGCCTTGTGCATGCTGCTACAGTGTCTGTGATCTCTCTCTCTCTCTCTCTCTCTCTCTCTCTCTCTCTCTCTCTCTCTCTCTCTCTCTTCTCTCTTTGGTTTTTTGTTTTTTTTTTCTGAGACAGGGTTTCTCTGTATTGTCTTGGAGGCTGTCCTGGAACTCACTCTGTAGACCAGGCTGGCCTCGAAATCACAGAGATCCTCCTGCCTCTGCCTCCCCAGTGCTGGGATTAAAGGCGTGCGCCACCGGCCCCC